CGAAGTGCATCACAAAGCCGCGACTTCAGCACCAAACCGGAAAAGGTGAGCTGGGCAAAGCAAGCCTCCTGCTCCTGTTGTATGCTCTCTGACACTAAAAAAAATTCTAAAACTCAGGAGACCATCGAACGTCTAATGCGAGAGAATCAAGAGTTAAAGCAACAGTTGGCTCTGGTGCTGGAACGTTTAAGTACACTTACAGCTGCCCCACCGGCGTCTTCTCCACCCCTATCCATCTCATCCTCTATTATAGAGCCTGATATGGCAGCCGAGTCAGGGACCGATATGATAGATTCCTCTCCACAGCCAGCAAAAAAGAAAAGGACAGATAAACCTGAGTCATCGGAGGATGATTTTAAAAGCACCAGTCAAAAAATTCGGAAAGAACACCGGGAACTCAAACAAAAGGTTGATTTAGGCTTTACACAAATTGCTGAATGCTTCAATAAGATAGAGAGTATTCTAGACGTGTTAGTTGCTCGGCTCGAATCTCTCCCACAATCTCAACCCTCTCCAGCGCCTTCGCAGCCATAACCCCTGCATGCACCCTTGCCTCATCTTCACCTTCTTCACTCTGCATATGGCAATGGAATTGCCGTTGATTAAGAAACAAGAGAGACAACCTCTCACTTTATATAGAGCGGTCTACACGGGCCCCTGATGTCATCTCCGTACAGGAGCCGTTAAAAGCTTGCAAGCTCCTCGGCTATCAGGCTGTACATTCGCATCCTAGCTCCCCATAGGCTACCACATATAGTATACAGAGGAATACCTCGTTTATAGCGCATGATCTTTCAGATCTTTACAGTGACTGCCTTCTTCTTGAACTTCTCCTACGTCGTACAGGACAAGGCACATATTTTATTTTGAATATTTATTCTCATCCTAGAGATGGCCTTCTGCTGTTTTTGAAGCAATCGATAGGGCTATCCAAATAGTAAACTCTGCTTCCATAGTTGTAACGGGTGACTTTAATGCCCCGCATGTAGATTGGGGTTACAGGAGAAACACTAGGAAGGGCACCAGCCTTTTTCAATACATTCAGCGAAACAGGTGCACTCTAGTCACTGACTGCATGCTACCAACACGAATTGGCAACAGTGTGAGCAGAGATACCACCCCTGACCTTACTTTCACTAAAAATGTGCGACAAGCTAACTGGACACACAGTGGGGTCAACCTCGGCAGTGATCATTACATCCTAACAATTACACTGCCCCATGCCAATTTTCGTACACAGTTTCATTTAAAAGCTTTTGTTGACTGGGACAAATTTCGTGAAATCCGAGACCGAAACCCGAAAAAAGAAATTCAAGACTACAAAGACTGGGCGTCTCAGTTTAAACAGGATGTAGCTCTTAGCGAAAAAGTAGCCCCAGCAGCACATATCTGCGATCCAGTAGACAGCAGGCTACTGCACCTATGGGAGGCCTATCAGAGCTTGGAGAAACGATGGCTCAAGCAAAAATATAATCGCAGACTAAAACGCAAAATGTCACAAACACTCCAGCTTGTAACTGAACACGCGGCCGAACTTTCATCGCAGCAATGGAACCAGATATGTAACCGACTAGACTGTACTCTACATATGAAGTACTCTTGGTCCCTGCTTCGCCATATGTTAGACCCATGCTCCTCGCGATGTGAAAGTAATAAGCGAATTACGAAACTCTTGTTTGAAGTAGAAAAACAAGGGCAAGACGTTGAAACTGCTCTTAAAACTACGTGTTTCCCTGGCCCAAGGCGAGAATCGTTACCTACCTACAATGAAGCTCCCAATGCAGACTTGGATGCACCAATTTCAGAGGCGGAAGTTTGGGCTGCCCTAAGCAAACTTTGCACCACATCTGCTCCAGGACTAGATGGAATTGCTAACAAGACACTCCGAAATTTAGACTCCAAGTCAGTGGCAGCTCTTACCGATTACATGAATCAACAAAGGGAGCAGGGCACGCTGCCCCAGGAATGGAACTCAGCTAAGGTGATTTTCATACCCAAATATATTAAGCCGTTAGACCTTAATAATTTGAGACCGATCTCTCTTACCTCATGTACAGGAAAACTGATGGAGCATGTAATTCTCAATCGTCTTAATTGCTACATGGAAAAAGAAAAACTGTTTCCCTCCACCATGTACGGCTTCCGAGCAGGACTCTCCACTCAGGATGTCATGCTGCAGCTTAAGGAGGACGTGCTAAATTCTGCTTTTCCACACATCACCAGAGCCATCCTTGCATTGGACCTGACTAAGGCTTTTGATATTGTTTCTCACTCCTCGATTTTACAATCTCTTAGTGAACTAAACGTAGGCTCTCGCACGCACAGGTATGTCTCTGCCTTTTTCAGCAATAGGTTCGTCTGCCTACAGTTGGGCACTTTCAGAACCGATCCCTTCATACTAGGTAGCAAGGAAACGCCCCAGGACTCGGTCTTGTCCCCGTTCCTTTTTAACGTTACTCTCATACCGCTAGCGCGGGAACTTGCCAAACTTTCTTCCATCAATCACTCCTTGTACGCGGATGACATCACCATCTGGGTGGCAACCATGGCGAAATCGAATCGAAGCTTCAGTTGGCCGCTGACATTGTTGTTAAACCCGCCAACATTATTGGGCTGACCTGCTCGGCGGCTAAATCTGAACTCCTAGTAATTGACCTTAAAAAGCAAGATACATGTCACATTCAAGTCATGCTTGATGATATCCCTATTTGCAGGGTCAATAAAATCAATATTTTAGGCCTTAATATTTCCGACAATGGTTCGAACGCTGACACCATAAAGTTAATCCACACCTCAGTTCATAATACAGCTTCTCCCATTAAGCGCATATCCAATCATCATCGCGGCATGAGGGAAGCAGACACACGCCGCCTCATACAGGCCTTTTGCCTATGCAGAATTACCTATTCTGTTCCCTACCTCTATTTCTCACTTACGGAGATCGAGCAACCTAACAGACTCATTCGTAATGCCTATAAAACTGCGCTCCATCTCCCTAAATCAACAGCCATAGATAAACTACTTCAACTTGGGGTGCACAACACTCTGGGAGAGCTTGTAGAGGCGCATCTTTTCAGTCAATATCAAAGACTATTAATCACAGAAACAGGACAGGTACTCCTGCGCCGACTTGGAATCAACGTTCCTGGTCACACCACGGCCACGTACGCTGTTCCCGTCACTGTTAGCAGCAACCTATCAATCCCGCCACTCCCCAAAAATACTCACCCAGAACATAATCAAGCGCGACGGGAAGCTCGAGCCAAGTCCCTTCAGAAGCGCTTCCCTCCTAATTCTCCCGCAGTCTATGTAGACGCGGCCGAATATGTAGATCATCGAGCTTTCGCGGTAGCCGTCGTAGATGGATTTCAAAAACTGGTCGCTAGTTCGTCCCTTCCAAATTCGACAAAATCCCTGGAAGCAGAGGAGGCGGCAATTGCTTTAGCCATTGTTCACTCCTCCGCTGAGTATATTATTTTCGGATTCAAAAACTGCAATTCGTGATTTTGCCACATTCCGAATGCATTCTCCGGCTGCTAAAATTCTTGAATCATCTCTTCCCCGCCTGATCGCCTCATCACCCTCCTCTGGGTCCCTGCGCACTGTGGACACCCAGGCAACACGGCCGCTCACACCCAAGCCCGAGCACTCGCCAACCGGGCTCACAGCGACCTGCCTTCGCTTCAAGGTGCCAGGGATCGACTCCTCAGCTATCATGATATCACGCTATTTTACCGAAATTCCTGCCAAACGTATCCCCCACCACATAAATCTCTCTCCTGAAGTGACTAGGCTTTGTGGCGCAGACTTCAAACGGCCACAGTGATGACTTCTTTTCTTCTGTCCCTTTTTACACATGGCGAAACCTCGCCTCATTGCAACTTATGTCCTAGCACAAGAGCCCACTTCCAGCACATATTTCTGAATTGTCCAAACGAACCCAAGCCCCCGTGGCGAGGGTCAGATCACCAGTAGCGATGGGAGGCTGCAGCTCACAACCGGGTTTACAGCTCCGGACAGTGAGCTGGGCCAGAAGGGTCGCCGAAGCACAGCAGGGTCTGGCCGCCTAGAGAGGCCCGAGGGCTGGTCGTCATCCTGATTCCACTTCCCCTATTACACCCCCCCTGAAATGATTCCTTCGTGAATCAATAAAGTTGATTACCTACCTACCTGGCAGCGACGCTGGCCACCTTGTGCCTAACGCTATGTTTACAATTGCGCTGTGCTCGGTGACTAGTTGGTTTTGTAGCCCGTGTACCAAAGTTCTTGTGTTTCCTTTCCTCCAGAGCGCATCCCAAGTCGCCCTTGAATTAAGTCTGGTCCTATTACCCATTCCTGCAGTCGTCGAAGCAGGTGACAATGATGCAGCACTGTCAGTCATTCCTCTTCCAGGCCCATGCAAACACGGCGACAAGAACCACACGCATGGGTGATGCCCTCCACACCGCGCCAAAGAAACACGCATTATGAACGAGTACTGCAACAAAATAACGTTTAATATTGCCAAATTGTATTTATTGTTGTCACTGCGGCAATTAAGTGCTCGAATTTTTTTGCTGACCTGCCGATATTCGGAACGAGAGTACCTCTTTCAGCTGCAAAGGGAGATCGTCGAACGGTCTTTGCGAAATGCTCTGTTTACGTTCGTTTGCGTAAGGGTTGCCGTGTGACACGGACCGCATCTCCCTTGTCGTAAGGACGAATAAGCTAAACGGTGTTCGTGAGTGCCCATGTGACAAGGGTATTAGTGTGGTGTCTCTCGTAATCATATGGTGGTTTTTGGACGTAAAACCCCAGATATTGTTTTCTATATCTTTTCTTCTCCCCCCTATCTCTCTCTCTCGTTGTCTCGTCTATCGGATTTACTGCATCCGTTGCCGGAAAAATCGCAGCGGGAGAGAGCGTGCCGGCTGAGTAATTGCGATGCACGCCCTTTTATTTTCTCGAATCTCGTCACGATTATTATAGTTTGTTGTCGTGTACCTTCGTGTGTCTCATAGGCTGACGGGAGTTCTCCACCGGAACCCGAGAACGCTACCATGGCATCCAACAACAATGTGCATGTCAACCCTGGTGAGTTCTTTTCCTGTTAGCAGCCTTCACAAACCTGAAATCACTGTGATCATGTTGCGACGATCGCTTCCACAACACGTGTTCCATAAACCGTGAGGTAAAAATTTTCTACAGATTAGGTATTAAGTCTTATTTAAATGAAGTCCTGTAGCGTTCAAGCGCAAATACGTACAGATGTGTCTACTGCGAAAGGGAAAACTTCTGTACCGGGCATGTCCTGTGCCAGGCATGTCCGGTCTCACTATCTAGCAAAAAGCACACTGGTTTAGATTTCTATGACTACTGCTGGTTGACCATTTTGAATCACTTTGAAATACCAAGGTTTCACACGCAATGTTTTTTCATAGGTGAAAGTAATGCGAAAAGTGCTCCTTCAAGCATTTGCTTTAACAGCTGACTGCGCTGTACATCAAGAGCAGCGATCAGCATCGTTGTCAGCCATGTTGTGTTTTGTCACATTCTCATTATTAGCATAAGCGAGGAGAACGACTTGGCGTTTATTGTCGGTGGTGGCTCGTACGCGGTATCACACAGGCACCCGTGAATTGTTTAGGAATGAGACACGAGACTTGCTAATAGCGTTCGACCTAAAGGAAGTTGTGGCTGTAGTGTATAGGAGGGTTGTACGTGACGTCATCCGCTTGGGGCGCTAGCGGCGTTTGCCTCTAGCGCCATGTCAGTATGGTCTGGGCGCGCCCTTTTTGAAGCGGCAAGCGGCAGTGAGAGGTTGTGTGCGTACCGCTACGTGCGGTACCAACGGGGTGAAATTCGACTGAGTGCTTACGCGCGACTTCCGAGGTTTGGCGAAACTTCACTACGAACATAAGGTTCATCTTTGCGGCAGATATCGACCCGTTCGACTTTAGCAGCGATGAAACTTTGTGTGATGTGAAGTGTTATTCCTGCATCGAGCTCACGGACATTAAGGACCACTTTGTTGGCCGCACAAGCTTCGCAACAAGGGATGAGCTCGAAGCCTACAAGTTGATTGACGCCCGCAACTATGTGACTAGCGGATGGGTTCAACAGCAGCGAGTTAGAGACCTCCGAGACGGCCGCCGCGTCATCGTCGGAAACTTGACTGGTTCTCTTTGCTCAGTGCTCGCACAAATATTTTTTTTTCACCGCGGTAGTGTCGCTTCACGAATTCTTTGTCTGGAAGGGCTTCATCATTTGCAAGAGCATGTGAGGTGATGAAATCGGCATAGTCCGTTCGTGCTTGAGCCCAAGCCGCTTGCGATCAAAAATGATTTTTGCTTCAGGGTCCAAAGACGCGCGTCGGGCAGTTGCGCACCCAGAGATCACACACGGTCTCTATTGTAACTGATAGACGTTAATGTGATATCGCCGTTTATTTGCTCGGCTCGTCAATGCATGGGTAAACGAGAGCGCACCGCGTCACTGACGATTTACTAACACACTGAAATCAGTAACACACCACACCTACTTGAATAATACCGCTGATAAGCAGCGATTGCGGTCGTAGTGCGTGCATTCGTCTACTGCTACGTAAACGAAGCTTCATAGCACGTCGCGAAAGCAGAAATTTTCACCACAAAAGCGAACCTCTACGATGTCGCATATGCTCTGAACACTTACCGGAAATGAAATTAAATGTTTAACACACACGTAGTATATGTGTGGCTGAGCCATGCAAACCTTTTCGATTGGTTTGCAATCATTTTAGGTATGAAAAAAAAAGCCGACATCAGACGCATTCTCATAACCAGCCTTCTTACTGGAGTGGTTGTAGCAACAAAATACGGCACAGTTCACTATTATTACCGCAGGAATATCGCATGGATGCACACCCGTGAGTGTACCACAGAACACCTACTTACTAGTTAGAGTACGTTCTGCGACTGCTTGCCCGCGGCGGCCGGGAGAGAGAGACCACAAAGGTGGATGCGCTGATGCTGGTGCCATCTCGTGGGCCACGTCCCTGTGCAACCCTCCTATACGCCGGCGAATCAAACTCGTGGTCTCGCAGCGATGAGCTAGCCATTTTAGCGTAATAAGAAACATTGGTGCGATAAAGTATTTTGACTGAAAACTTCAGATCGTGCAGGCGATGGAGGAACTTCAAACCACGAGAGCTTCAGAGACGACGGCGTTGGCCCTCCGCTTTCGCCGCATTCTTCGAGAGATAACCAAGCACCTCCACTGTATCTAGAGTGTATGCGTGTCGTGGCTACCCTCGCCGAGTGTAGAGCTCGTTGGGTCATCCCTGTTGAGACGACAGAGTATACTTGTATAGCCTGTCTTCTTCGTCCCGGTGGACCAGGCCCGGAGAAGTTTCTGTCGGGCCGCCTGCCGTTGGAGCAACCCGCGAGACCATCGGGACTTCGTCATGATGAATACTATCTGCAGCCCATGCACGGGACGCAACGGCCTGTGTTCGCGGGTGACGCCTGGGAGCAGTTTGTGCCTCACATAAATGAATGGAACCGTCGGAAAGGAAGGTTTAGAGGAAACCAGAGCAGAACCGCTGCTTCGGGTGCTGATTGGTTCACGCGGCCGCTACGTAAGGAATGACGTGTCTACGCTTTAATACAGCAAAGGGGGCAAAACGCGGGTTACCTATTTTTTTAAATTGAAATAGAAAATAAACGAAAGTGTTTTTGTCACCATTGCTTATCGCAAGTTATCTAAACTTTTTTTCTTGTTTTCTAGGGCGACCACTTGTGTTAGTTAGACCCAAATTGAAAAACCAACATTATCTTCAATCTGTTCTTTTCCTGATTGTTCATGTGCCCATAATGCGTGCGCAGTGTTGTAAACGTTCCTGTACAACAGTAACGGAAGCTCGTTCCTTCCAAATTTCAGAACGAGTTCCCATTACAAGTTCAGTAGCAAAACAGGCCGCAATAGATACAAGTTCCATAGATTCGTTCACTATTGGGTGCTACAACAAGTGTGCAGTAACTGGATGCCAGCCAGAACAACACTTGGTCCTTCTTTGACCCACATGTGTATAGCAATAGATGATGGAACGTCCGTGTAATGTGACCATATCACCATATCTAGCGTGAGCATGTCGCTAACTCATGTGGCTACAGTGTGCCTTGACGTCAGTATACAGTATATGAAACAAGACCAGCTTTTTAAAAACGTGTCACATTTGCTTTTTAAAGTGTAGTCAAGTTTATAAGTGAATTTTCTTGGTTTTGAGGGCTTGACCTTTCATTTGATGCATAGAAACAACTTATAAGATTTCTCCCAATACTCTAAACATTTTGTTGCAAGCAATTTTTGTGTGTACAGAGGCAGCTTGACTATTATTGCAGTATTTACCTGCCTGTGTTTATAAGTCTAGTGTTTTGGAATAGTACTGTACACTAGACTCTCGTTAAATGGAATGTGAAGAGACTAGAAAATGTTTTCCTTTTAACAGTAATTCCGAGATAAAAAAAAGTGGAGAATCTAAGTACGAAAGCAACCGTGTTGAATGAAGTTGTTTCATTTAAGCAACAATTCCCTTTAATAGATTTCAGTTTACTGAGAGTCTACTGTGTTAAAAAGAACCATGTGTGCTCAGTAGAATATCATGGTGCTTTGTAAACTGTTGCACTTGCTCATCCATTTGAACCTAAGACAGTTAACTGTTCCTTGTAAATTTGTGCAGGTCCGCAGCGGCACGCTGAGGCAATATATGCCCTCATTGAGGCCCGCTGTGATCGGGACATTGCAATCAAGAACCGCCGCCTCCAACTTGAAGAGGACCGGCTGCGGTTCGAGATAAAGCGCCATGAGCAGGAAATGAAGCTGAAAGAAATGGAGCTTCAACAGAGGCAGGCGGAGCAGGAGGCGAAATTAAAGCTAAAGAAGCTTGAGTTCCAGCTTAGGCGGCAGGAGCTAGAGGCGCTAGCTGAGGAGCGCAGGCACAACAAGGGCTATCAACAAGCACAGCTTGAAATCATAAAGTCATTCATAAATAAGTAGATGCATCCATTTGAACCTCCATGTAACTAAGTCCGACATAACTAAGAACTTATTCGCGGCCATGACAAGGTCACCCTCTGTACTGCTGTTCTCAGCTAAAAATTGTAGACCGTCTATTGTGTCTGTAAATGTATGAAAAACAGACATTAAAAAAATAATATCTTGTTGCTAAGTCAGCTATAGAAGTCTCCAGCTATAAAATCCGCTCACTGCCAGCTACCGTTATGTTGCCATGGGGTGTGGGACGTCATGTGTTTCATGCAGGAGATCTGTCTTCTCTCGAACTTCAGCCAGTGCAAGTTCTTCAATTTTTTAATTGCAAGGCATACAAAAGGTGAAGTAGCTCCATTGTACCGCACCTGACCATGAAACAGTTGTTGGACGGAGTAGAGACGCTCACAAAGCAAGTGGCTTATTATGTCATGGTTCACAAGTACTGTTGTGAGGCTACTGGGCCACATGCGTGTTTATAAAAATCCTCATTATAAATTAAATCTTCAACTTAATGTGCTGAAATTTCACCAGCTCATCTGCCAACAGCAAAGGACCTACTTTTATTATACAGATTACGAAAATTGCTTGTCATGGCTCCTTGGAGTGAACATTACAGAGACACAATGACTTGGTTTTAGGTTGACAAACTGCACTCTGAGAACTCTAACCCCATGTTTCACAGTTCAAAATTAATTATTCGTGAAGAAAATTAAGGTTGAAGTTTCATTTTTATTTAGCACCTGAATGTCCATGCGCTTTATGAAAAAAATTAATAAAGGAAGGCAATACACTAAAACATCTGCTAGTGCCAGTTGTCAAAACATGTACTTTTAGCGTTTGTCAAGTCATCTTCCGTGCAACAGAGACCAGCCACTACAGTTGAAGGGGAATACATTCTTCTAAATTTTGGAAAGAGTTGAAGTAGAAAAAATAGCAGTGTAGTAATATAATACAGAAGTCATGAAATTACTTGAATAGCACTGCAGAGGAAAGTAGGTGGGTGTAATGTAATAATATTTGTAGAGTTTTTATGTCCCAAAACCACAATATGATTGTGGGAGACACCGTAGTTAAGAGATCCAGAAATTTTCTCCATGTAGTGATCTTAAACATGCACCTAAATCTAAATACATGGGCATCTCAGGTTTTGTCATAGAAGTTCCAACCCTCATGCGAAGAACCTTCAATGCGATGATTTGTATCGGTGATGTTTCGTACTTTGTTACATGGAGGTTTAGGTGTATTTTATGAACAATTTTATGGTTGTACAAAACTGCAACAGTTGTTCTTGGTGATGCTTTGCTGTTAGCTGTTCAACAAGCTCTGCAGATAGTGCCTCCCGTTTGCCACTCGCTTTTGCCAATACATTGCCCCTTTGTCTCACATAAGGCCAGTGGAAAATGTACGAGGTCTGTTAAAAAAGTATCCGACCCTTTTTTTTTTGCAAGCACTTCATGGATTTGGAACAAGCGCGCTTGCATTAGCCAATTTTGAGCCTTCGTGTGCACGTGGGAATTTTTTCCCGCCTGGCAATTTCGTCAGTCGCTAGGATGCAGTGTTTGAGGGAGGTATGCACAGTGCTCTCATTGGTTTTCCATTGCAAGGAAAATAAGGGAGCGGCTGGAGCAGCGCTAGAATGCTTCCAACAATGGCAGAACCTCTAAGAGCAGTCTCTAAAGTCCCAAGGGGACTACTTTGAGGGTGTTTAGGTTTACAATGCTCCAATAATGCCCGTTTTTGCTGTTCCACCAAAGGGTGGGTACTTTTCTAACAGACCTCATATGATGCCTGCAGGTGCATATATGCTTGCATTGAGTGACCGGCTCCTCTTCATTGCTGAATTTGTTGTTTCACTAATTTTATTTCAGGCTGAGACATTTTAGCTATAGGGCACAAGCTCGAGATTCAGATGTTGCCTCTTTCTCTCACTTTATGGTTCAAAAGATACAACATTCAGAAGGGTTGACAGGCGGGCTAGTTAGTACAAATTCGTAATGAAAAAATTGGAAGCGCAAACCAACGGGAATGGGCTTGTTTGTCTCTTCTCTTGTGTCCCGTTGGTTTGCGCTTCCAATTTTTTTATTATGGATACAACTTTATCGAATGTCTATCAAGGTTGAATGCAATATCGGGTTCCTCTCACACGGGGAAACGTCAAAGCCTTGCCTCAAAGCCGCCTTGTGAGCTTGCTGGACTGCTCACATTTAGACGCCAATGTTTGAGATGTGTAGAGCAGTAGCCAACTTCAATGAAAGGGTTTTCAGAGTAACTGCAAGCATTCTGCCAACATAACTACAACCCTATAACATGTGTTAGAGTGTTGCACGTCCTTTCTGGTACGAATTTTACGTGTCGTCCTGATGATTGTTCGAATATATCCATTTTAGACAAACTGGGTTAGGGAAGTTGTTCATCTAGAGCTGTCCCCAGAAAATGGCCTGTCTGCTGTTTAGTTTGGGACTAAGCGGTGGGAATATCATTCTTGTGTTAACACATGCTTTTGTTTTTTTCATTATAGCTAGTGATCCTATCCTTATGCATGAGGTATGTTCCTTATTGTACGAGAGGCATGTCCGTGTTCAGCACAGCATGTCTCTGGCCATCAAGTGTGTAGTCTCGTTTTTATTCGGGAGGGTATCACGTTCTGTGGTGATGTGAGTGGGAACTACAGGATGGTCGAGCTCACGTTTGGGGATCTTCCCTCTTTTGCCAGAATGGCCAAGGCTTCCTTGGGAATCGTGCTTTTAGCGTAGTTTTTTTATTGCTGTTTCGGATTTGCATTAGACAACTTTGCATACCTGGGTTTTTAGGGCCTGTGGAATATTGTTGCAATCTAGAGAACGAAGAAGCTCGCTCAGATTGGAAGAAGATGATGCGACTCGTCACCCTCTGGACAACTACTGAAATTACTGTCAATATACCAACTATGCACTCGTGTGCCTCTGCACTCTTCCCGCAACATTTGGTGGAGGTGCTGGGTACCACGATGAAGCTTTGCAGTAAACATCATGTGCTTGCCAGGAAAACCAACAGCCAATGTCTTAGTCAACGACAATGGCAAACCAAGCGTCAGCAGTTATGCCAGTCGCAACCACCTGCTGCTCGACGATCATACCTTCTCGCCCTACACGCCGAACCAGATCACTATCGTCAACCAGATCAATTTCCCGCCAAAATCTTACCACTCCCCGTCTTTGCCAGGTCATCGGTTAGTTCGTCGCTCATGTACCACTCTTTGTCCCCGTCCACAGGCTGCTTCACTTCCGGAAACTAGGTAGCGCTTAAAGTGGTCAATGTGCCTGGGAAACCTGGCAGGTTTCCCAGGCG